GTTACCTTGGCTTTTCCGAGGTACAAGTGCATCTTCTGGTTGGCGGTCGGGAGCGCTTCCAAGTTGTAGGTCCTCATCATGCGGCTCAGCTCCAACTGGAACGCGCTGGCCGGTTCCAAGTGCCTGTAGATTTTGTCCTCGGTGAAGTCGTCCTTGGCCCTGTACGTGAAGAATTTGGGCGTCTGCTTGTGCTTCAAGGCGGAGAAGGTGATTCTCCTGATGCCGCGTTGCAGGAGTTCCTTCCTGTGTTTCAGGCAGAATTTGCCGAACTGTCTGGACATGGTGGAGTCGTCCGAGTCCCCCTTGTCCTTGATTCCCACCAGAAGGATGTGGATCGGTTCTTGGACGATGTTTTTATCTTCTGGAATTGCTCTAAAAACACATTCAAAAAATTCGATTGTGCACCAGGTCCGATAACTTCTTTATTTGTAAATGGATTTTAATAAATTATACATCAAATTAAAGGTAATTTTATATAGTTTCAGAAAATATATACATGTTAATAGGCGACTTCCATGCGTTTCTAGATAATCATAAAAATGTGTCATAACAAATTTAACTAAAAATTTTACATGAAACATTTAAAAAGTTTTTAGAGTTTTACTTGAAATATTTTAAGGATTTTAAAATCCTAAATCTTTTAATATCCAGAATTTTGAAAAGATAAAACATTTAAAATAGATAGCATAGGAAAATTAACACGAGGAATGGATGATGGCAAAGTTTCTTCCTAAGAAGGCATCCTAAAGAATATCTCATTTTCAATGAAAAGCCCTAAATCTTCCAATATCCAGAATTTTGAAAAGATAAAACATTTTAAATAGATAGCATAGAAAAATTAACACGAGGAATGGATGATGGCAATGTTTCTTCCTAAGAAGGCATCCTAAAGAATATCTTAATTTCAATGAAAAGCCCTAAATCCTGCAATATCCAGAATTTTGAAAATATAAAACATTTCAAATAGATAGCATAGGAAAATTAACATGAGGAATGGATAATGGGAATGATTCTTCCTAAAAAGAAGTCCCAAAGAATATATAATTTTTAATGAAAAGCCCTAAATCTTCCAATATCCAGAATTTTGAAAAGATAAAATATTTAAAATAGATAGCATGGGAAAATTAACCCGAGGAATGGATGATGGCAATGTTTCTTCCTAAGAAGGCATCCTAAAGAATATCTCATTTTCAATGAAAAGCCCTAAATCTTCCAATATCCAGAATTTTGAAAATATAAAACATTTTAAATAGATAGCATAGGAAAATTAACACGAGGAATGGATGATGGCAATGTTTCTTGCTAAGAAGGCATCCTAAAGAATATCTTAATTTCAATGAAAAGCCCTAAATCCTGCAATATCCAGAATTTTGAAAATATAAAACATTTCAAATAGATAGCATAGGAAAATTAACATGAGGAATGGATAATGGGAATGATTCTTCCTAAAAAGAAGTCCCAAAGAATATATAATTTTTAATGAAAAGCCCTAAATCTTCCAATATCCAGAATTTTGAAAAGATAAAACATTTAAAATAGACAGCATATGAAAATTAACACGAGCAATGGATGATGGCAATGTTTCTTCCTAAGAAGGCATCCTAAAGAATATCTAAATTTCAATGAAAAGCCCTAAATCCTGCAATATCCAGAGTTTTGAAAATATAAAACATTCAACAAATAGATAGCATAGGAAAATTAACATGCGGGATGGATGATGGCAATGTTTCTTTCTAAGAAGGCATCCCAAAGAATTTCTAAATTTCAATGAAAAACCTCTAAATCTTCCAATATCCAGAATTTTGAAAAGATAAACATTTCAAATAGATAGCATAGTAAAATTAACATGAGGGATGGATGATGGCAATGTTTCTTTCTAAGAAGACATCCTAAAAAAAATCTAATTTTTAATGAAAAGCCCTAAATCTTTCAATATCCAGAATTTTGAAAAGATAAAACATTTAAAATAGATAGCATATGAAAATTAACACGAGCAATGGATGATGGCAATGTTTCTTCCTAAGAAGGCATCCTAAAGAATATCTAATTTTCAATGAAAAGCCCTAAATCTTCCAATATCCAGAATTTTGAAAAGATAAAACATTTAAAATAGATAGCATAGGAAAATTAACATGCGGAATGAATGATGACAATGTTTCTTCCTAAGAAGGCATCCTAAAGAATATCTAATTTTCAATGAAAAGCCCTAAATCTTCCAATATCCAGAATTTTGAAAAGATAAAACATTTAAAATAGATAGCATAGGAAAATTAACATGCGGAATGAATGATGACAATGTTTCTTCCTAAGAAGGCATCCTAAAGAATATCTAATTCTCAATGAAAAGCCCTAAATCCTGCAATATCCAGAATTTTGAAAATATAAAACATTTAAAATAGATAGAATAGGAAATTTAACATGAGGAATGGATGATGGCAATGTTTCTTCCTAAGAAAGCATCCCAAAGAATATCTAAATTTCAATGAAAAGCCCAAAATCTTTCAATATCCAGAATTTTGAAAAGATAAAACATTTAAAATAGGAAAATTAACATAAGGAATGGATGATGGGAATGTTTCTTCCTAAGAAGGCATCCCAAAGAATATCTAATTTTCAATGAAAAGCCCTAAATCTTTCAATATCCAGAATTTTGAAAGGATAAAACATTTAAAATAGATAGCATAGGAAAATTAACACGAGGAATGGATAATGGGAATGTTTCTTCCTAAGAAGGAATCCCAAAGAATATCTAATTTTTAATGAAAAGTCCTAAATCTTCCAATATCCAAAATTTTGAAAAGATAAAACATTTAAAATAGATAGCATAGGAAAATTAACATGAGGAATGGATGATGGGAATGATTCTTTCTAAGAAGGCATCCCAAAGAATATCTAATTTTTAATGAAAAGCCCGTAATCTTCTAATATCCAGAATTTTGAAAATATAAAATATTTATAAATTTTTGAGCTGGCCAAATAGCTTTTAATTAAGCTAAAGGCCATTACCCACAGTGCATCTGTGTTCAGATTGAAAAAGAATAAGAATTTATTTGTAATTCTAAAATTCTAAAAAATAAAATAATTTGAAACTTCTCATAAGCCTAAAGAAACCAAAATTCTGTTTCATTTGACATACAACATGACATGACATTTTTCAAAAAACAAACAAAATATAAGTAAAATACACTTTCTATAATACACTTGATAAATCTTACTTCTTGGAATTAAAGCCCACATTTAAGCAAATTTGTAACTTTTTGAGAAAAAATAAAACAAATTAAATTTAAAAAAACTTTAAAGAATATTAAACATTCTAGAATGCTAAAAACAGGAGTTGAATTCATTCACAACTTATATGGGTAGATTCAAAATATGCAATAAAAAAATTGCATGTCCAAACCCCATTAAACTTTTGACAGTTATATTAAAGGTTAAGCTAATTAGCTTACCTGAAGCTGAGCAGCCGGCAAATTGACATCGGAAACCATTTCTGTGCAAAGATGCTCGACCTGCAGAAGAGGATTTAACGCCTAAAACAAAATATGACAAAGATGACAAAGATGTAACGTACAAAAACAATTTTAAATCTTTAATAACTTTTTAGTTTATGAACGGATTTCTAAATGCAATACGTGAAATCGATCTCTATTTAGTCTAAATTACAAAAAACAAAACATTGTTAAAATCCGATCACGGACCCAAGCCACCTTCTGGCATCAAAACCTTCCCTGCTAGCTTCATACCTCTTTAAATCGCTTAGAGCCCCCTACAGTCATACCTACAAACAATAATAGAGGCGAAAAACTTAACTTTGTAATCCTAACCTATCAATTTTCAACTTTTCATCCCCCATCCATGGTATAAGGTGCTTCCCCTGGTCAATGTGTTGCGCCCTTTCATCGTCCCTGAACAATTTACAAGCGAAACCGAACACTAGAAGTTCTTCGTGGTTTTCCTTTTGCTTGTTTTTACGCAAAATACCCGTATCATTGTTCCACTGCGCCATTTCTACAAGTTTTTGACATTTGACAGCATCAAAACAAATGCTGTCACTAAAGTAACGAAACGTCCAATTGCACCTACACTAACTTTACTAGAGCGCATATACAGCGTCTAAAATTATAAATACAACTTACGTTGACATTCTATTATACTTTAACAGTTAAATCGAGTTTAAATTGGCATTTTTATAACAGTACTAATAATTTTAATAGTTTTAGTGCACACTTTTCTCACGTACTTTCAGGTACTTTAGCCACCAACCTAAATGTCATAAACGTCATAATGGCAAATGCTATAATGAATACCGTATTAAAAAAGTCCCTTAGCTTCTTGCCAGCCAAAACCTTCTTAAAGAATGGTGCAGCGTTGATACACACCAGGTAAACATAAAACTGACGCGACATTTCAACCCCCGAAATTTGTTATGTAATTAGTTAGGTTATGTCGGGTTGACGTTTGTATTTCTTGTGTTTAAGCGCGGATAAAAAGGCGAAATGGTATCCGGATCCGGAGTGGATGGCCGGATTCGATGGGCCTGTTATGTACCCGGATGAGAACACCAAAAACTGGTCGTTACAGCCCTGGAGTGCCAAGAAAGCACCTACCGAAAAGGAGGTTAAAAATGTTACGTTGAATTTTGGGCCACAGCACCCAGCTGCTCACGGCGTGTTGAGACTGGTGATGGAGTTGGATGGAGAGGTAGTTATAATTGATTTGTGATCATAAAGCACTAACACAGTTGATTGTTTAAGATTGTAAAGAGATCAGACCCCCACATTGGTCTTTTGCATCGTGGTACAGAAAAATTGATCGAATACAAAACCTACACGCAAGCTTTGCCGTATTTTGACCGTTTGGACTATGTGTCCATGATGTGCAATGAGCAGTGCTTCAGCTTGGCCATTGAAAAGTTGTTGAATATTGATATTCCTATTAGAGCCAAATATATTAGGAGTAAGTCCGTTTTACTTTTTCCAAGTTTTTAAATTTTGGCCAAATTTGGCCAAAATTCATTTTAAGAAAAACTACTGGAGATATCATTACGAAATTTTAACACCACATTTTTGTGGTATTGGTCTTGATTCTGTACAAATTTAAAATCAATCGGATCAGTGGCGGCGATTTTATAAGGGTTTAAAAAAATCTTGTTAAATTAAGTTATTTTGAAGACCATATAAAATATCATTATGAAATTATAATACAAGCTTTATATATTAATAATCTTGATGCTGTACAAATTTTAATTCAATCGGATCAGTAGCGGGGATTTTATAAGGGTTTAAAACAATTTAAAATTTAATTTTGGCCAAAATTGGCCAAAATTCATTCAAGGTAAATTACTTTTAGCTTTGTTCGCGGAACTCACCAGAATTTTAAACCACATCATGGCCATTGGTACTCATGCCTTAGATGTGGGTGCTTTAACCCCATTCTTCTGGCTCTTTGAGGAAAGAGAAAAAATGATGGAATTCTATGAAAGAGTATCCGGGGCTCGTATGCACGCCGCATACATCAGACCTGGGGGTGTTTCTTTGGTAAAAAACTAAAAAAATTAAAAAAAAAAATACAAATTTTGTATTTTTTTTCTTTTAAGGATATGCCGTTAGGTCTTATGGACGATATTTACGAGTTTGCCGCTAAATTTAACGAACGTATTGATGAAGTTGAGGATGTTTTGACAACCAATAGAATTTGGGTGCAGAGAACCGAAGATATCGGTATTGTTACTGCCGAGGATGCTTTAAATTATGGATTTAGTGGGGTTATGTTAAGAGGTATGTATTTTTTTACTAATGAAAAATTTTCAGGAAATATTCTTTTATTGTTTTGTAAAATTTCATCACTGAGACTTATAAGTTTTTTTGGTTTAGTCGTTTTTAAATTAGCTAAAATATTCGATTCGTCTCAAATCGGGTATTTTCAATTTGAAATATCTCGGAAAGGACAGACTTAAAAAAATCAAAATTGTCACAAAACATTCTTTTATTGTGTTGTAATAAGTGGTTAAAATTTCATCACTGAGACTTTTGAGTTTTTTTGGTTTTGTCATTTTTAAAATAGTTGTAATATTCGATTCGTCTAAAATCGGTACACACTTTGCAAACAGGTTCAGGTATTAAATGGGACCTCCGCAAGGTTCAACCTTACGACGCCTACCATCTTGTCGATTTTGACGTGCCGATCGGCACTAAGGGGGACTGTTACGACAGGTACTTGATCAGGTTGGAGGAGATGAGACAGTCCCTCAGGATCATAGATCAGTGTTTAAACCAGATGCCAGCAGGTGAAATAAAAACCGACGACGCTAAACTAATGCCTCCAACCAGATCCGAAATGAAGGTAAGAAGGAATGCCTCGCCAAATTTCTCGGTTACATTCGGCAACGATTTTTTTTAGACCTCCATGGAGGCGCTAATCCACCACTTCAAAATCTTCACCCAAGGGTACCAGGTGCCCCCCGGTGAAACGTACACAGCCATAGAAGCACCCAAAGGCGAGTTTGGCGTCTACTTGGTGTCAGATGGTAGTTCGAAACCCTACAGGTGCAAAATCAAGGCACCTGGGTTCGCTCATCTAGCCGCCTTAGATAAAATCGGCAAAAACCACATGCTGGCTGATATCGTTGCCATCATAGGTACCCTTGACGTCGTCTTCGGCGAAATCGACAGATAGACACAAATTATATATGTATTATGAACCACCTTAATTTAACTATGTAAATAATGAATTATAATTAAATAAACTTATTGTTTTTTTAAGTGTACAAGTGTTTTATTTCCTATCACACCACATCCGACCGTCAATACGTACAATAGAAAGTCATTGAGATTCTAATGATTGCCAGGGGACTGTCAGTAAAAGCAGTGGCAACTTTTATAAAGAAGTAAAACTGCTTCAAGCGTCGTAATCGTGATAATACTTCCATTAAAACGCTAAATAATAATTGTAGACAGTGTCAGCAAGTTAGAAATTATAACCTACTTTAATTTTATTTTTTGCTCCACAACCAAGCTTCAATTTATTTTTTACTCGATAAGCAAGCTTCAATTTTAATTCCAAACTAAGGAAAGTAACATTTACCCAATAAATAAATTTGAATAAAGGCTTTATTAACTCGAAAAATATTGACTTTAAGTAAAAATACGCTTACATGCTAACCAGCTTTATTTAAACTACGATTTAGCTTTACTCTTCATATTTTGACACACTGTAAACTAGTCTGTGTGAAGGGATTTAAATTAACACACACTGTACATTACAAAAATAACTTAATAAAAAACAAGCAAAAACGAATTATCGGTTTAGTTTGTTGAAATTGTTCATCGATGAGTGAATTATTGCGGTTAATTTGTAGCAGTAATGGAAATAACTGTTAAAATAAAATAAAATAAATAAAAAATGGATTCAGAGAACTTAAGGTAGGTGCACCATGGTAACTTAAAAACGACTCGTCAAAGAATAAAAAAAAAATTGTTTTCTTTGTAGAAAGACTGTTCTCTTGAAAGAAAATGCGAAGGATAATCAATGTGGCATAAAAATTAATCTGGAATTGCCGGATACTATTTCCACAATAACATTACGAAACAGTTTGGATTTGGACGATAAATCCAACGAGTTATTTCAAATTGAGGAGTGAGTTCCATTTACATGATTTTTTGTATGGTTTTTTATGATGTTTGTTTTATAGCAATGCACAAGAAGAAATCAATAATAATGATTGGAAAATATGTGCCAAACACTTCAAACTCTTTATATTAATCTCCCTGTGGTTAGTTTGCAGCAGTTCATTGATGGTAAACAATGTTAAAGTTCAGGACATGCATCAGATCAGTGTTCCGAAAGAGAGCACTGAAAGTAAGTATTTGCTACTTCAGAACTTTAGTGTTTCACATTTTATTTGAAGGCTATGTCATACTGAAGAAACCCAAGGATAACAAAGTGACAGTGATGCTGGCGGGAGCTCTTCTGCCGCCGTATTACGGAAACCTCTCCAAACACTGGATGACAGTCTACATACAGTTGATAGTTTTGAACAAAATGCCTATTGATAAAGATAGAAGTATAGAGGAGTCCAACATCATTCTCTTGCAAGTAATTGGCGTACTTTACAAATTAAAACACAACTGTTAAGTCTTCTTGGTTGTTTTAGAATGTCTCCAAAATTTGGCATGTTCCTTTGGTAACGGAAAACTTAATTGGGGTGGTACCTGAGGTTAAGTTGAAGAACGTTTTCAAGCTGTCCCCGCACCAAATAGAAAACACGACGGTTAATTTGCTTCAAATTCAGTTCAGTACGAACCTGCAAACGAACTTTCCTGTTTCTGTGGGCTACAACTTGCACCCTATAAACACTGACGACGGCATCATCTATGCTGCCCTTGTTTTGGTTGGGCTCTACATCCTAATCATCTTTGATGTACCATCCAAGTAAAAATGATTTATCTGGCGATTACATTTGAAAACTTTTTAGATTATTCACCGAACGTTGGCTGCAATGCTGGCCAGTACGATTTCCTTGGCAATTTTGGCAGCCATGAGTGCTAGACCAACAATGTCCGAAATCGTTTCATGGATAGATATCGAGACAATTATGCTGCTTTTTTCCATGATGACCCTTGTCACCATATTCAGCGAAACTGGGGTTTTCGATTACATGGCTGTCAAAGCTTTTGAGGTATGTATTTTTTTTTACGCATACCCTCTAATTATATTTATTACGTGTTTATATGCTCCCAGTAAAAATTTCAGCTCATTCTATAAACGGGAACCCGTGCCGACTTGCATCTGAACCCTCCGTTAGCCAACGTTAGGCGCGCGGTATTTTGTAACACGGTTGGTCGCGAGGTCTTCGATCGTAAGTCATTTTGTGTTTGTTATTATATGACCCTTATATCATAAATTATTGACAAATGTTAAAATATAGTTTTATTTATGTGTATACTTTGATAAAAATGTATATTTTCACAGGGAGTGGCTAGTTACCCGGAAGGGTCTGGTGAATAGGCCGTAAACTCTGAAATTGATAAACTTAATGGGTTTTACTCTAAATAACTAAAAGAGTCTATTGTGAGAGATGACTACCGAAAACTTATTGAACTGTCTGAAATATTTTTGGGAGGACATCAAGAAAAGAAATGCTTATAAAAAGCTAAAATTTCATATAACAGTATATTTTAGCAATACTAATTATATTAATATATTTAAGGGATAAAATCAACTAAATTAGTGAAACAAATGATAGAAACAAAAGCAATAATATTAATTAGTAATCATATTTAATAAAATCATTAGAAAAATACAGTCATGAAGTATATCTTCTTTTAAAAGTGTTTCGTGTTACAAAATACCGCGCGCGCCTAACGTTGGCTAACGGAGGGTTTAGATGCAAGTCGGCACGGGTTCCCGTTTATAGAATGAGCTGAAATTTTTACTGGGAGTATATAAACAAGTAATAAATATAATTAGAGGGTATGTGTAAAAAAAATAAACAAAATGCAATTTTTGACATTATAAACCATGATGAGTAATAATACTTTGAAATTGACTAACCTTTAGTTAATAATCATAAACCACAGCTAAACAGCTTGGTGCATTCTTCCAACACAAATTCTGAGAGAACGATGAACGAAACAAGTTTGCGTTTTTGTCAACTGAACACCCCCTGATTGCATATTTACACTAATAGTGTTTTTACTGTGTATATTTAGTTTACAGGTGGAAAAGTTTGGCCTTTAATAAACGTGATTTGTATCATAACCACGATATTTTCCAGTCTACTGGACAATGTTACCACAGCTCTCCTGGTAACTCCGGTAACAATAAAGTAATACCAAGTGGAAAATTTCCGCAAGTGTATCTATACGTTTCAATTTTTAGGCTTTGTGAGGTTATGAAGCTAAACCCTGTTCCAATACTTATGTACACGATCATATTTGATAATATTGGAGGGTCCCTTACGCCCATTGGTGATCCTCCAAATGTTATATTGGCCTCAAATGCCGCAGTTAAGGCTTCTGTAAGTTTTGGTTGCTCTGACTTGGCAACCCACACCTTTTCACACCAAAGGTGTGGCAATGCATCGCATCGTATAAATGAGCAATTTACAATTTCAGGGCGTCAATTTTGGAGTTTTCACCATGCACATGGGTGCAGGTGTTATTTTGAGCTTGGTTGTGGTTTACATACAACTAAGATACATCTACAGCAACCCTTCCAACTTTAAATACTCTTTACCGATTGAAGTGGAAGGTAATTTTTTTGTTTCGTAGCGTTTCCCTGGTATGTAAATTAAACATTTTAGAGTTAAAAAGGGAAATAGCTGTCTGGCAAAGAACAGCCGCCTCTGTGGCTAGTTACAGCAAGGATGAGGAAGCAGTCAAGGAGTCCCTGATTAAAAAATCAGAAAAACTGAAAGGGCTGCTACAACATACAATGCACAATACGAGTGCTCTTTCTGATATATATCGAAACAATTTGGAAACCTTGAAGATAAAGGTGAATAACTTTTTAATATCTACACTCCTTGTGAACTTAACAATTCATTTTTAGTATCCCATTAAAGACAAAATGCTTTTGATCAAATCCGGTGGAACTCTTTGCTTGGTTATCTTCGTGTTCTTCCTGCATTCCATTCCAGCATTCAGTAAGTCATAACATAAGTATATTTGATCTGTGGTCTACTACTACTGTATCTTTTAATATACATAGGTAAGTTGGGTTTGGGATGGACATCGTTACTGGGAGCTCTGTTGCTTCTACTTTTGTACGATAAGGACGATATCGAAAGCATTTTCAATAGAGTGGAATGGGCAACTTTGCTCTTCTTTTCTTCTTTGTTTATTTTGATGGAGGTAAGTTAAAAGAACTGTTAAAGTTTCATCAGAACTGTATTGATTATTGCTGTGTAACTTAAGGCTTTGTCTCAACTGGGACTCATCGACTGGATCGGAAAACAAACCCAAGCCATCATAATGTCAGTGAGCCCAGACTCAAGACTGACTGTGGCTATAATTCTGATGTTATGGGTGTCTGGGTTAGCGTCTGCGTTCGTAGACAATTTACCATTGACCACCATGATGGTAAGGATAGCCACCGACTTGTCCGATAATAGAGAGTTGAACCTTCCTTTGCAACCCTTGATTTGGGCCTTGGCTTTTGGGGCCTGCTTTGGAGGTAACGGTACTTTATTCGGGTCTTCATCGAACATAGTATGTGCTGGTATAGCAGAACAGCATGGGTACCGTTTCTCATTTCTGGAATTTATGAAGTAAGTTGAATTGTATTTATTATATATATTTTAGATTATTTCTTCTAGGGTTGGAGTTCCAGTAATGTTTTTAAGTTTAAGCGTAGTAACAGTTTATCTTTTAATATGTCATGTGGTTTTTGAGTGGCATTAATGTATTGTTATTTTTAATTTGTTAATAAATATTTAAAATTGTTGTTTTAATTTCAAGTTTTAAATGATACCTACCTAGATTTCAATAATCCTTGACTGCATAATCTAAAACATTTCATGGGCAAAATGTATGAAACTATATACTATAGTAGTTTATGCAGGTAATATAAATATAATTATTGCAATAAAGAAATTGATGTTCAATGTTGACAAAATTATCATTTTTTCCTGTCTGTCTTAAGACTCGATGTCAGAGTATTTCACAAGGTTTTTAAATATACTTAATAGAAGAAGAAACTCCTATTAAATCTAGAAGAGGTAATATTTTAAGGGTCGCGAATATTCTGAATGATGAATTCGAACAAAAAGACCAAGAACCAAATGATCAAGAAGAAGAGGCACTAAAGAAAACCACTAGAGAAAGAATCTGAAAAGGATCAGTCCAAAGAAACCTACAAGAGGAAAGAAGACCAAAGAAAATGCCTAGAAAACATAAAGGTTGCAATTATATCTAAACCACAAAGGAGTAATAATTAGTTGTTTCAAGTGTAGTGAAACGATATCTAAGTGGATAATATTCATAAATTTAGAATATTCAATAATTACAATTTTTTTAGAAGCAAACTTGTTAAAGTAGTAATTTTTGCAATGTCCCCATATAATGATGTGACATTCAATTTAGATAAGCAATAGGTGGGTAATCGCAACGCATTTTTGTAAAACACTTAATAGGTATAGGTAAAGTAGTAAACATGCGTTTAGTTACATGTCAGCTTTGTTATGTGTTTGTTTTTTTAATAAGTTTTGGTAAGTTAATTAACTTAAGAAAAAGTAAAATTGCTATCTTGACGATTTCACGTTATAGCTAACGCTCGAAATCGTATTGTTGGGGGTATTGAAACAAACATTGAAAATTACCCGTACCAATTACAACTTCATCTAAATGGTCATATGATTTGCGGAGCAGTCCTAATTAGTAACCAAGTTGCTTTAACAGCTGGGCATTGTATTTTGAAACCAGGTATACTTTACAATCATAGTTTAACTAATTAACTAATGATAACCTTAAATCAAATATTTTTATATTTGAGTCCTCTAAAAAAAACGCCAATTGCATTTTTTTACTTTAAAAAGGTAATTACGAAGTTAACGGAGGAACTTCCTATTCAAATAAAGGAGGAACTTTAAAACACGTTAAAGAAGTTGTGTTGCATCCATCATGGACTATGGCAAGATCTGATTATGACCTTGCCATCTTAAGACTTGACCATCCATTTAAGTAAGGGCCATTCCACTTACACAACAATTAATGGAAAAATTCACTCCATATTATACAGAAGGTGTATTTTCAGGCCATCCAATAAAATTCGCCCTATAAAACTGGCAAACGCTTATGCCCGGCTGAATCCAGGTACCAAAGGAAACGTAACAGGTTATGGGTCTGTCAATTCGAAGGCAACAAGCATGTCAAAGCGTCTTCATGCAGTTGAATTGCCGATAGTCAACCAAGAAGAATGCAGAAATGATTACGGATATGTGAATCCCATTACCTCCAGAATGTTTTGTGCTGGGTATAAAAACGGAGGAAAAGATGCATGTCAGGTATATTTAACACTATTTCAATTACCCAGGTAGCACACTGACGTCTGCTGACGTTTAAATGACGTTGAAATGACGTAATTTAAACGTCATCAGACGTCAGTATGCTACCTGGGTAATTTGAAGCGCAGCTACGAGCGCCATCTATTCAAATTAAGTTAAAGTTGTACACATATTTAACAGGGTGATTCAGGAGGACCTTTTGCAGTAGACGGTGTTCTATACGGGATTGTATCTTGGGGATTGAACTGTGCCGAACCAAACCATCCTGGAGTTTTTACCAGCATCCCGGAATTAAGAACCTACATAAATCTTAACACTAAATTGTAAAACAAGACATTTTTCTCTGCTACAACGCAATAACATGTACCCAGGTAGCACACTGACGTTTAAATGACGTTGAAGAGACGTCATTTAAACGTCAGCAGACGTCAGTATGCTACCTGGGTAAATGGATATTTTAAGGAAATAAACCTGTACTTCTGTGTAGGTATGTATTTGTTTTTTTGTGCAGACACAATGAAATTTTCCACCACAAATTTCAGATGTATATCTACATGTTTAATGGTTAAATGCATTTATTTTATTTTAATTAAAAGTGTTTTTTGGTTTGGGTTGTGTTTTAATTTTATTATTTAATTAAGATATGCAATTTTATAAAATTAGTTACAAGGTAATAACAAAATCCTATATTATTATGATTCATCATATTTATTTTGTTAAATATTTAGTTTACCTACATTAAAACTTTTAATTTAAAAGTTAAAACGGTTAAAAATTAATAATTTATTATGAATTTTGTTGACCATGACTTTGTAAAAAACTTGCAAAGATTAAAATAAGGTTTCAGTCAATACCAAAGATAAATAAATATCAGGGGCAACATATTAATTCATGTTTTGCCAAATACAATTTTTAAATAAACATAAAGATTAGAGTGTCTCAAAAAACCGACTATATTTTTTTTTCCAAAAACATTGAAAATTCGTCGGAGTATCTCTAGAAAAAAATAAAAATATTTAGATGTGGCGTTTTGTAATTTTCTATTTCCCATTTAAATAACATGGGAAATTTTTATTTTCAAATTTGGAATTTTGTAACGTGATAACGAGCTACTTTATAAGTATGACGAAATTGCTCCCTATAGGAAATTTAATGCTCTACAAAAAAGGTCTGATTGACTTTTTGCGTAAGTCGAGCCTCAAACTTCAGAATGTTTAAAATTATGCTTTTTTTTTCTTAAATACAAAAAAATCAGGAAATAACAGAAGAAAATTGATATAAAGTGAAATGGACTATTAACCGTAAATATATTATTAATACATAATGTAAATAAATTTATAGTAAACTTCTACCAAATTTTTTTAGGCAAGTGAATATTTTTTGCTAAAAATCAATAAAAATTATCATTTATCAAATTATAAAAAATTTTAGATCTGCATTCCATCAAATAATATTTAATATATTATATGCATATATTTATTCTCAAGTTAATAATTTTGGGTCTTAAATACATACAAATTGATTTTTTTGTATTTAAGAAAAAAAATGCATAATTTTAAACATTCTGAAGTTTGAGGCTCGATATCTTTGAAACGGCTTGACTTACGCAAAAAGTCAATCAGACCTTTTTTGTAGAGCATTAAATTTCCTATAAGGAGTAATTTTTTCATACTTATAAGTATATATATAAAGTAGCTCGTTATCACGTTACAAAATTTGAAAATAAAAATTTCTCATGTTATTTAAATGGGAAATAGAAAATTACAAAACGCCACATCTAAATATTAATATTAAGAGCTCTTACTTTCACAGGGTCATTTTCTAGAGATACTCTGACGAATTTTCAATGTTCTTTGAAAAAAAATAGTCGGTTTTTTTGAGACACTCTAATAAAGATAAATTAATGTCTTGGGTAATTTTCTTTATTTCGTTTTTGCTATTTTACCGTTGAGTCAATAACGCTGTTTGAATTTAGACGACATATTTGTTTTATGATTTTTACTGAATTGTGACAACTTGTCTGTAACATACGCTTTGGCAACTGATTATTAAAATATGTTTGAGTTACGATGTAAGCATTGAACTATATAATTTGTTTATTTGTCAATCAAATATCAAATAAGACGTGTGTTATGTAGTAATATAACTACCATTTAAGTCTTTTGTATTCCAAGATATATAATTAAATGACGTGTATACCTATCATTATTGACAACTTCTGTAGGTATATAAAGAGCTTCACAAAACATTGTAATTTAATTTTTTTTCATCATGTGGAGTTTACTGTTAAACTTATTATTGTACCCATTATTTTTGCATTCATTGTATTTGGATGTTGACTTTATTAACGATTTTATGAAAAATAAAAATGCTATGGTTACTGCAAATGTATGCTGGGATAAAGGTAGATAACAAATTTTTATTTTCGTTATTATTATTATTATATTTCCGTAGAAAAAATAAGTTATTTCATTAACAACAACAAATTAAGAGTATCGATAATAAAACATCCCCAAAATGATTTTAAAAATCAGACAAATTATAACTACATGTATATAGTTATTGATTTTAGAAATTGCCATTCCTCATGGGTTTTTTTAAACAAGGTATAGTAAAATTTTGTTGTTTTTTTTTTAAATTTTAATTATAGGTCTGTACGGAAAATTTATTTCAATCACCTGTTAAATTTTTACTGCTGGTAAACAAAGATGTGGTGGGTAGTGCTATCCTTAAATCCGAAACCAACATTGGAGTGAACAGTGAAGTTTTTTTAGCAAATTTTAAAAACCATGGCAGAGTGGATATTAATCAGCTTTACAGAATTCGAACTTTTTCAGATACAAGTAAGTTAACTGTATATATACAGTACAGTTTAGCAATTAAAGTATTTTAGTTTTTGAAAATTTTGGAAACTGGTCAGATATTGATGGACTTACCGAACATTACAAACATGTAACTATTTTCAAAAGAAGATCAAATTTTCGAAAACAATTCATTAATATAGGCTTATCATTGGTGAATCCCAATCAAACATTACATCATTTAACAGATTTTCGGTAAATAAAACAGGTGTTATCAATTTTGTAGTCCAAATGCTTTGATAAGTCCCACCTCGTTACTAGTCATTTTTTTAGCTATCCCAGAATGGATCCATTCGCAAAACATGATTATCCTCTAATGCACTTGGTGACAGAATATCTTAACGCATCTATTAATATACGAGTTTTTGATAAATTTGGATATTACAATGAAAAAAACAAAACATGGGATGGAATCGTAAATGATATGGTACAACGACAAACGGATATAGCGGGTAGTTTTTTTATTTTTTGCTTTTTGTGTAGGTTTGGTATTCATCTTTATCTTCATTTTCATCTTTATCTCCTTCTCTATATACATATCCATCTTCAGCTTCATCTTCATCTTTATCCTCACCTTCATCTTTATTCTTCCTAGTAGCAATATAGGTATCCTATATATACACTTCTTTATTTTACCGTTAGCTGTGTAATGCTCTACTTATAAGTAGCTGAAATATATATATTTCAGCTATGTACATTAATCAAAGAAGATTGACTGTGGTGGACTATTTGAGAGCCGTTGGCATCCACATTGACACCAGGTTTATTGTAAAGAAACCATCCACTTCATATATGCAAAATATTTATTTATTAACATTCAGTTCGAACGTTTGGTACGCCATACTGCTTTTAATTTGTATATGCGTACCCGCTTTTTTCTACTTGCTTAATTTTGATGGAAAAATACATGCAGAAGTAAGAATTTTAAGTAAATACTCTCGAGGTATATAACCTGTTAATGTTTTTATAGGCAAATATGCAAACTAAGTATACACTTAGCGATATATGTCTTATTTCGTTGGAGGCTTTATGTCAACAAGGTAAGATATCGATGTAGTTTTATAAGAATAAGTCTTCATTGTTTACTTTCTGATGATCCAAATACTAAAAAACATTTGCTTCAGCGATGAGTGTACTTTTTATCTAAATGAAGCAATACAAGCAATAGAATGGCCTCCCAGATCTCCAGTTCTGATACCCTTAGACTTTTTCTTCAATTCGTCTGAAGATTACTCTATCCAGCATTTCAATTTCTTCTTTTTTTAAGGCACAAATACTATGACGAATAGTTACTCCAGCAGAACAATTACTTTAATATTCTTTACGACGTTTATGTTCCTCTATGTATCCTATTCGGCTTATATTATTGTTCTACTGCAATCAACTAATAAAATTAGTTTGGTGGACCTATTACAAAGCCGGATTGAAGTTGGAGGATTAAACATTAACTACATGAAGCATTATTTTGAGGTAGGGTAAAGTAGACAGTTATTGGACACTTTATAATTATTGGACAATTACTATACTTTTTTGCATGTTTATATAAAACTAATATTAAAAATTCAAATATTCCAATTTTTATGTAAACGTAAATAAAGTTTAAACAAACAAACTATCCTTTTTATATATTTATAAGAAAAAAACTAAAATCTTTAAAACAACGGGATAATATTCATTAATTGTCCAATAACTATGTGGTTTACCCTATACAATATCATTTGTAACGTAATAATTTTTTTATTTAAGGGCCCCAAGGAAGGCGTTTTAAGGGAACTTTACCTCAAGAAAATTTATCCAAATCAATATTTTCCGTTGGAACAAGGTATGCAGAAAGTACAAGATGGAAACTTTGCTTTCTATGTTCCTTTAGCATCGGCATATCACTATATTCTAGAGAAATATACCAACTACGACATATGTGGATTACAGACTTTAAACGCTTATATTACCGTATGTTTTCATTGTATTTTTTTTCAAAAAAAAAAAAAAAAAAATTTTTTTTTCAGTCTGATTCTCACATTGCAAGTCAAAAAAACTCACCGTTCAAGAAAATAATTTCTGTGAGGTATGTATATATTTTTTATTAAATTTGGTTGCAAAAAAAATAAAATTCAAATCTCTTCTTACAGTTTATCTCGGATTATCGAAGTTGGATTAAACGATAGAAACAGCAAGAGGGTCTTCACTGTCCCAAAATGCTTTCACAGCTCTGGAAATTTTCAATCCGTCAGATTATACGATTGCTATTTCGCCTTTATGCTGTTTATTTACGGCAAAATTTTATGCATAATACTGTTTTTTGTGGAACTATTATCCTTCAAGTATAGTCAGCGTAAAAACACTATATAATCATGTAAAATAACATTATTTTTTTGATGTTTCACTAATAAAATATTTCAATTTTTTGTTATTTTTCCTTTAAAATCTGTTGGCTTTGGTGGTGCGTAGATAAGTAAAATCATATAAAAAGTAGTTAAATATAGGTGACTACGGTCCAGGAGAGACAAAGTATTCCTAGCGGATAATAATCTTCGCTTTGAAATGAATTTATACAAAAGAAATTAGAATTTTATGTGAATACACGTGAATGTTGTCCAATCATTGGACTCCAATGGTGAATAGGAATTTTGTTAAAGCCACTAAACGTTAATACTTGTTGTGGCTTAATAATAATTATAATGTATATATTGTCCAGGACTATTAATAATTATTAATTACTGATTATAATCAGTAAAACACAAAAGTTCAAATAAAAAAAAATGAACTGTAAATGTCATATTTTATTACTATTTTTTAAACTTATTAAAGGAACATAAATATGCCTCGTGCAGTAATTACCTTTAAAATTACAAAATTGTAGGTTTTTAAATTTTTATATTGGGGAGTCAAATACAATGTATGCATAATTGTTGGGTAATTTTTATAGGTATTTTGTACCAAATGGATTATTTCGTTTTTGTAAATATCATATAATTCATATCATTCTTTCTCGGATTCCTCATCCCTCTTCTGGTCTGAATTTATAATGCACTGTATTTAAATGACTGTTATTCTGCAAGATGTCCTGTGATGAAGAAATCACTATATTATTTACTCTCTAAAAATGAATTAGTCAAAAATGTCATAGCGAAAAACTGCCACTAATAATTCTCGTCAACAGCAATTTGTATCCAGGAGATTTAGCAGTCAATTCCTATGAAATATTATTCGCTGAATCCGAAAATGTCGTCAAAAGTTATAAAAGTAGAACAGTTTTTGAAATATGATCAATTTTACATATAATATGGAATAGACTATATCTCAAAAACTGCTTAACTTTTATAGCTTTTGACGGTCTTTTCGGATTCAGGGGACAATTTTACATAGGAATTGGCTGGTAAATGTCCGGGATACAATAAGAGTATGATATTGGACGTATGCCCAATAATAGAAATTTACATTTTTTACCAACCAGTAATTGGACACCGGCCATTTTACTGTTTGTTTTCAGAATTAAAATTAAAACGCATTAAATTTTTAAACCATGAGGAACACATTTATACCACACACTGATTTGTACACTCTTTAGAAATATTTTTAATTGTAATTTAAACAGCCCCACAAAAAAACAAAACATTTATAAATTATGAAATGTAAAGGATACGATTTTGCTATAAAGCAATCCTTATCTTCTATATCTTTTTTAATGGATTTGTTTAACACGAATAATTGTGTTGGTTTATACGATTTTATCAGCAAAATTAATCTAATTGAGTAAGTATTGCAATTTTACTAATTTTTAATTGCTTATAACAGAGGTACTTTCCTAATTTTAAATTAATATTTACACATGTTACACACTGCAAAATAAAATTTGATAGTCAGGTTGAAAATAACTAAAATCGAATCTGTTTGACTGGGTATGTTTTTGTTATTTTTACCTCGAATTGTCGTACATATTAACAAGTAACTTGCAAATTGAAAAAAGAAAAAGTTTAGTGATTATTGCTTTTATTTCAAACCAAATGGATGTCATATTTTATTACTATTTTTCTAAACTTATTAAAGAAACATAAAAATGCCTCGTGCAGTAACTATAGTTACTTTTAAAATTACATAATTGCAGGTTTTTAAATTTTTATATAGGGGAGTCAAATACAATGTATGCATAATTGTTAGGTAATTTTTATAGATATTTTGTATCAATTAAAATAATAATAATAAGTTTTAAATTGTTATTAACTTACAACAGAAACACAAAAAAATATTTAGTATTAAAAAAATTATATACAAATATAAAACTGTCATTAAAATGGCAATAGAGAAGCGATTAGACAACCGCTTGACAATCAAGAGACATGAGTTCAAACCCCACCAACGTCACAACTTTTTTTATAATTTAAATCTACTAATTTGACCATTTCATTCCATAGAATTTGACCAGTTATTGATAAAAATGACAATTTGTCAATTTTAAGAGAGTAATGCTCCTTAAGGAATGCTTCGTAAATTTAATCCGTGGTCAAATCTTAATCAGGAAATGCCAGATACAGTAATTCAACTAGAAATAAACCAATTAGACCGGATTGAACATCGCAAAACAACTGCAATGTTTGCCTACCGTTGAATAGCGAAGATAGCTTAAGTAAAACCACTTATTCTATTGGTTATTTAATTTTTAAGTGTAATAAATAATATTTTATCATTTTTAGGTAACCTCGCAGAAAAAAAATCCAACGGGGTCAGGTCTGGAGATCGGATTGGCCACTCGGTCAATAAATACAATCTTCCAAATTTTATTGGACATGATTTCACAAAATTAGCCCTGATTTCACACTTTATTCTAAGAATGTTTTTTAAACCTTCCAGTGATAATATTCTTAGGATCATGCTATATTTCTTCTAAAGAACATGCTTAAAAGACATATAGCATGATCCTGAGAATATTCTTACTGGCCTATAGGCAGGTTCTTAGAAGGTGCAAAGTTTTAGTGGTAAAAATTAGTCTACTCTAAACATATGCTTAGAATGTTAAGAAAGTAATTGCTATAGAAAGTTCATTTAGGAATATTCCTGTTAAGCATATTTAGTTCAGTTACCTATATAATAGTAAAATATGCCATAAACTACGTATAAAGGTATATACCTAATTAGTAATTATTATTAAATACTAAGTAAAAAACCCAATCCAAAATATTTTTTTTTATAGTTATTTTTCAAATTAAAACAATATTCGATAACAAATTTTTTTTTATTTCTGAATTAACATTTTTATGTATAATAATCCGAACTATCTTCAACTTCAATCTAATCTGACTTATCCCACAAAATTTTCCAATTTTACTTTTTATGAAATAATGTCATACAACTTATGGTTTAGAGGTCAAATTGTTTATTTAATATTTTTAATATGTTGCAAAATTTTTAAGGGGACGACAAATACATTTCACTGTCATATTATACCATAAGAAACCTTCTAAGAACATTCCAAAAACGTATTCTTAAAATGTTCTTAGGATGCTTTTTAGGAAGGTCATCATTAAAAGGGTATCTATTGAATACCTTAAAAGTCCCTAAGAACATTCTTAGCAATAAGGGAAGGTTCTAAGAATATTCCATTATTCCGTCATATCTTCTTAGAAGATTCTTAAAATCAATCTTTTATCATTTTTAGGTAACCTTACAAAAAAAATCCAATGGGGTAAGTTCTGAAGATTTTGCTGGCCATTCGACTGCACCTCTTCTATTTTTCTTTTGTTTGAATAGGGGACCAAATTTTATTGGTCATTTCACAAAATTCTAAATGCCTGTATGCATCATGTAGTCATGGGCAGAATTAGGTACATGTTTAGCGCGCTGACTGCACTGAAACGGCTCCTGCACGTCTACCTTTCGCAGCAAGTACTCCTGCTATAGGTAGACCTACCTGCAGCGCTATCTCTTAATTTTTCGCGATGTCCACACCAACGCGCGTATACTACGGTACCCCACCAAACAGCCGATATCGCTGCAGCACAAGAGGTCCGTCGTAAGTGCAATCCGACCAAAAAGTGACTTTTGCTTTCGTTTCGGGCAATGCATGCCTCAGTCCACTATATCTGCAAGGACGATAACAAGCTCGCGAGCTTAACACTGATGCACAAGCGAAGCTCAGAGCAACAAGTGGTTGATTCGGTAACGCGCGCGATATCCTGTGATTTGTGTGATACTTTTTGATTTGTGATATTTTTTTGTGCCGGATTATAAATAAAACTGGACTTAAGCATGCAACCCCAAGAAATTTAAGGTATTTTTTTAATTCTCCTTAATCAATCTTTAATCTTCAATTTACAACCCCTAACTGAGTTTCAATCAACCTGCATTGCCAATTCTTGACCAAAATTCATTAGAAACGAAGCTTTCCAAAAATAACTAAGCCTTTATTTTGCTAAAAAAATGTTGCCCAGAGGAAAAAACTTTTTATTATTATTTTTTTAAGAAAAATAAAATAGAAAACCATTATTACCATAATTAAAACTAATAAAACCATGTCAGTAGTATTTATTTACTTTTAAAGGTTAAACACAAATTTTTAATAAAATTGTTGTAAAATATTTAAAATTCAAAGCATGAAAACTATAAACTTTATTTCATTCATAAATCACAATTAACAAGTTGTATTTTTATCAGATTTGCAAATCTTGTCTGCTTATATGAATACTAACGACTACTTTTGAGAATAAAGCCGGAAAATGTTAAAAAATATTGAAAAAAAAACCGTGGCACGATATAAATTGTATCTATTAGATACAATAAATACACATTTTAGTAATGATTAACGTGAAAATTCAGTAATAATCGTCAAACAAATAAGTCGTCTAAATTTAAACAGCATTTAGCATTATAAAAAGCGTTGATTAAGAATTTTTTAAATACCATTATATTATGTATTATATAAAATATTATGTTGCCATGAATTCGTAGGTAAATTTTGTTGTTTAAAATGCAGTTATCGGCGTTTTTAGAGAGCTCAAATATAAAAATGGTTATGTTTGTCCGAAAATTATTTTTTACAAGTTTCTTAAAAATGTCCAAACTTAAATATAAATTATATTAGGTAAAGTTATCATTAGTTAATTCTGCACCAAAAAATGTACTTACCGAATTGGATCCTTTGGCAAAACATGAAAATGCAACGATTTAGTTCTTGAATTTTATTTACAATTAAAAACACAATAATTCAACATGATCCCTTAGATACAATGCACACAATAACGTAACTATATAAGCATTTAAGCGTTAAGTTTCTTAATCAATGATATTAAGAATAATCAATTGAAATCGAGTACTAAACCAGATTTTTAGTTTTTTCCTTGCAATGCATTGGTTGTGAAAAATCTTCAAATTTCATTATTATTTCTTTTTTTAACCATTCTTCCATTCATGGTTTACTATCTAAATGTCTGAAATTAAAAAAAAAAACGTAGAAAAAGGAAATTTCAAAATTTTTATTGCCATTTATATATATATTAACATTAATCTTCAGAGAAGTTTATTATACCTCTTAAAAATTCTACAAGCGTGGAACAAAAATATCATTGGCAATGCTTAATTGACCAATTTGACAGTAATCATTTTAATAGTGGAGAAATAAGATTATTAAACGTTATATAACTAATAGCTAAATCCCCAATAATAGCAATGTTTTAATTTTTTGGCTATCACTGTCAGAATAGGAACAAGGAAGCTGGAGCAATATCTCGAGATTAAACCAATTTTTTCGAATATATATATATATATATATGTATATATGAGCTAACCAGTTTCGCAACGGTTAATAATTTAATCTTGCATTCCTTCTTTACATTACATTAATACTTATTAGATATCAAAATAAATTCATTGCTAAGTTCTGATTAAACTAAAAATGCTACTAGTTTGGCTTTGGTGGTGCGTAGATGAGTAAAATCATATAAAACAGTAGTTAAATATAGGTGACTACGGCGCATGCGCAGGAAAGACAAAGTATTCCTAAATTAACTACTAGACAGCAAATAATTTTTATTTTTTGTTTTTTTTTTATCAATTTTTACATTTCAATAATAATAATAATGATTATAATAATAATAATAAAATAAACAAGTAGAAAGTACTTAAGGGAAACATTACAAAGATTTAGTTTAAAACTTTCACGTTTAATCTTCTAATTACATATAGCTGCCACCGCAAATGAACTTGACACATTTTAATATGACTTAAGCATACATACATAATCTTAAATTTCGATAGTGATTATATAATCACCATGGAGATCTGTGTCCGTAGTGACTTCCACTTTTACCTTCATTATGTCCCCAGGATATTGACCGCATTTTATTCTTGTTTTTGTTATACAATAATCAAATATGTTGGTCTCGTGGCCCGATTTTTTATGACATTATTTGTTATATAAATTAATGTGTTAGCTCTTTTAGAGCCTACCCTGATAGCAAAATTTGATTTTAAGAATCTTCTAAGAAGATATGAAATGGAATGGAATAATGGAATAATAATGGACTTTTAAAACCTTCAATAGATACCCTTTTAATGATGCAATTAGATTCTTAAAAGCTTCTTAAAACCTTCCTAAAAAGCATCCTAAGAACATTTTAAGAATACGTTTTTTGAATGTTCTTAGAAGGTTTCTTATGGAGCTTCTAGGAAGCTTTTGAGAATATTTCCAAATATGTCAGATACCCACGTTCTAATATGTAAAAAATTTTGCGACATATTAATATATATTTATTTAAAAATATTAAATAAACAATTTGACTTCTAAACCATAAGTTGTATGACATTATTTTATAAAAAGTAAAATTGGAAAATTTTGTGGGATAAGTCAGATTAGATTGAAGTTGAAGATAATTAGGATTATTATACATAAAAATGTTAATTCAGAAATAAAAAATCGGTATACAAATTAATAAATATTTATTTTTAACATAAAATAAAATACATATAGTAGAAGTATTTTTGTTATCGAATATTGTTTTAATTTGACAAATAACTATAAAAAAATATTTTGGATTGTGTTTTTTAATTAGTATTTAATACTAATTACTAATTAGGTACTTAAGTATAGGTATATACCTTTATACGTAGTTTGGTATATTTTACTATTATATAGGTAACTGAACTAAATATGCTTGACAGGAATATTCCTAAATGAACTTTCTATAGCAATTACTTTCTTACCATTCTAAGCATATGTTTAGAGTAGACTAATTTTACCACTAAAACTTTGCACCTTCTAAGAACCTGCCTATAGGCCAGTAAGAATATTCTTAGGATCATGCTATATGTCTTTTAAGCATGTTCTTTAGAAGAAATATAGCATGATCCTAAGAATATTCTCACTGGAAGGTTTAAAAAACATTCTTAGAATAAAGTGTGCTATCAGGGATTGTCCTTGCTACTATAGCTATAACTATTAAGTACATAAATAAAATTATATTTTTATTGTCATTCCATAATTTTTTTATGTGTTTTTCTTTGAACAAAAACTAGCAATTATAATACATATTATTTTATTTATTTTTCTTACTGGATAATTGTGCTGTTTATTATAATAAACAATAATTTGTTGTGGTTTTTAATTGATTAAAGGAAGCAATTTTCGACTCAAATACGTTTATTGACATAAACACAAACACACAGATACGGAATTAAATAATACTGCATATACAACTGTCACTGTCAATTTCCCGATTCGATAAAAATTTTAGTCACAAAATGGGTAAGAATTGGTTACCTGTATAAAACTACGAGATTTTAAGTTTGCTTTTCAAATTACACCAATCAAACAGTGTCAATTGGTACTTTGTGCCAAAATATTATTTGGTGTTTTGAACGTATTTATATTTTAAGTAATTGCCAAAGATTAGTTTTATATTTTGTAGCGTAAAACTTACAATGGACTGTATTTACGTATTTATACTAACTGACATAGAAATTGCAACACCCAGAAGGAGGTGTCTAATTTAAATAATTATTTGTTCAAATATATGTACTATAGCTAGGAGTAAACCATTAAAATTTGGTAAAGAAATATGCAGTCGTTCTCATGTAAACAATTTTTTTCACGATTCAAAGAAATTGTTTTAGTCGAGTTTTTTGCGGTTCTTTTTTTCCATTTAAAAAAATTGTACTGTTAAGTTGGGTGTTTTAGTAATGTTAAAATGCCTAGAGCACGAGTACGCGGAATTTATCGCCAACTGAGTGAATTTGAAAGAGGCCGAATTATTGGTCTACGGGAGGCGGGTTTTTCATTTCGTGAAATCGGCAACCGCACTAACAGAAATCCAACTACTGTAATGAGATGTTGTCAAGGGTGGTTTGATAATGCCCAAAACCGGAGAAGAGTAGGCACTGGACGTCGAAGGCGCACAAATGAAGTTCAAGATCGACGTCTAAGACTTATGGCCTTCAGAGACCGATTTTCGACAACTCGATCTTTGGCTGATGAGTGGTTAGGAGAACAAGGCCGACTTTTAAGTGTCCGAACGGTTTACCGCCGTATAAGGTCTTTTGGACTACAGCACTATCGGCCCCATCTTGTGCTACCTCTGACCGCTGTGCATCGACGGCAACGACTACAGTGGTGTACAGAACGACAACATTGGAACGTGGAATGGCATCAAGTCGTCTTCTCTGATGAATCCCGATTCTGCTTAGATGGACATGACGGCCGAAGAAGGGTCAGACGACGTCGGGGAGAAAGACGTCAACCTCAGTTTGATGTTGAGCGTCATGTACACCGAACAGTAGGCGTTATGGTATGGGGTGCTATTGCTCATGGAAGTAGGTCACCTCTAGTCTTTATTAGAGGCAACATGACAGCGCAACGTTATCTTCAGGAAGTAGTGGAGCCGTACGTTCTCCCTTATCTTAATCGGCTTGTGGATCCAATATTTCAACAAGATAATGCGCGGCCTCATGTTGCCAGAGTTAGTTTGAACTTTTTTGAAGAGGTCCATGTGAATCTAATGCCATGGCCAGCCAGATCCCCTGACCTTTCGCCCATAGAACATGTTTGGGATGTGGTGGGTAGAAGGCTAGGAAATCTACCTCAGCCCCCAAGGACTTTGGAGGCTCTAAGACATGAAGTACAGGTAGCTTGGGATACTATACCTCAAGAAGAAATAGACCACCTCATTCAATCAATGCCAAGGCGTGTTAGGGAGTGTGTAGATAATCACGGTGGACCAACACATTATTAACAAAATTAATAAAAAAACTTTGAAAATCCTTGGTATTTTTTCTCCAAAT